AACCCAAGAAAAATGGAAGCTCAAATTTTTCATAACTTTTTTGAATCAGTGCACTATAAAGGAAACTCTCTCCATGATTATTCTAGAGTACATCATTAACTGCAAAAAAAAAATTTGTGATACACATCGTCTGGATGTAATTATCAAAGCTATTCGATAACCTAGGTGTTCCATTTACATATAGTTGTAAGTGCACATTACGAATAACTTTTGCGTGAGTAAAAAACGAAGACATTGCATAGATCGAGGAAGTGAAGCCTTAGTGAAATGTGCGGAGGTTGTTCTTACTTCAGCTTTATTGTGCCTCTTTATACATGTTGTGAAATCAAAGAAGGCCTTAAAATGAGAGAGCAGAGGATTGAGAGTAAAGACTGCCATCCCCTTCCGTCATGAAAGTGATCTGTATGTATCATGTCACGAAATTGTGCAAGACCTATTTTTGATCGAAAATTATTCTAAAAACTTTTAAGCTTCACCAAGGTTCTCTAACTTCCTTAAGCCTCTTTTTAAGGGTTATAGCCACAAAATTTCTGGAAAACGTCATGAAACTTTTTTCGAGCTTGTTTCAGTTCAAGAAAGCATCTCAATTTTTTTCGAAAGCATGGCCAACTCTCTTTCGGACTGCGCGGCTAATGTCACACTCCTCGTGTAAAAGATTTTTTGATCCCCCCCCCTCCTCCTTGAGAATTTCTGGACCACCGCTGCAGCAGAAGCATGAAAAAATTGTTACGGTAATCCTAGCATTTCAGCTGCAATAAGAACAAAGCTGACAAGTCTTTACATCAACTAAATATCTACAGAATTACATAAATTATATCTTTTTTTAGTTTCAGTTAGTTTTTGTTTCGGTTTTCTGTTTCGCGCAAATTTGGTGATACTATTTTCATAACTGGGCATCGGGCCAAGTTATGATTATGGCTGATTTTGAGCACATTTCAAAATCCAGGTAATCATTTATACTGTAAAGGTAAGGCTCTCGTACATGTGGAATTCTAATTTTTGCCACAAATTAGTCTTGACCGGAACAGAAAGCTTTTATGATTGTCAAGTCTATAAATCGTGGATTAAAGCCAGGGCCCGGCATTAATTCGTTTTTAGGCTTCTTGAGGACGAAGTTTCCCTTGACTTTCGCGGACTCATAGGTCTAAAACCTAAAAAACCCTCAAAAATGAAACGTCGACTGAAAAGAAAACGTCGCAATTTTTGGCAACAAAAAGATATTCTATTTGGTTTCCGTCCCCAAAAACGAAGTCCAGCCTGCTTCCATAAGATCTGTGCCTTATTAAAGCTCATAAGTAGTTTGCCAAAAAGATGTGATGTCATGACAATGTGCAAAGCTCAAAGTCACAATGACCGATGAGAACTAAAAAAATTATAACAATAAAGGGACAATGGAAGAGAAAGCTAGGAATAGCTTTGCCAACGCTGTAAGCATGACCACTTGTGGAAGCCATTATGTGTCTTCCGGCAGCCTCTTTTGCATCTATCCACCGTCACAAATGTTTGAGATTCCAGCATTTTTCGACGAGATTCAAGCTTATTGCTTGGAAAAATTACAAAGCCAATATCTTGTTGTAGCAGACTTGGCGAAAGCTGCTGAAGAGCTGTCAAAAAGCTGTCGTAAAATCCTGGAAGAAAGTGCAAAAGAAAATTTTAATGAATTTCTAATTCAAAAATGACAGTGAACATGCACTACAGCGGTATAATTGACATATCCACTGCAATCAACCTTTACGTTGCTATAGCTGCGATGGAAACAATGATAAAGGATAGGATAAGGACGGATTCAAGAAAAAAATTTTTTGCTCTCTATGGCTTCCTAACTATCCCTTTAAAACTGAAGGTATACAAAGTTTGCCTAAGCTAGAAAAACAAAGATATGCATTTTGAAAAGCACGCATTAAACGATGTTATCTGTACTAGAAAAGGGATGGAAGGGAGACTAACAAACGATGAGATCAAATAGGACAAAAAAAAGTGCTTAAAAAAGATCATAATGACCCTATCTCTTCCCCTTTGACTTCCCTCCTCATCCAAAAATCTTGTACAGAATTTTTTGCCTTTATTTTCCAAAATTAGGCTCAATGTACAGGCTTTGGACAAGAGTAAAAGTGATTTTGAATTGGTTCAACTATTCATGTCTAATAAACAAAAGGAAGAGATTTTTAAAGCAATTTTTTTCGAG